GAGGAAAAACTCCCTTTTAACAGGAAGAAACCTCTGGCAGAGCCAGGCTCAGGGAGGGGCAAGCCCTCTGCCACGGCTGGTTGGGGATGAGGTGAATCAGACTGTAAACATCTTAAACAGACATGTCTTACCTGGTAGGATGGACGTTCGCTGGAGGAAAAAAATGGGTTAAATTGACAAATTTTTTCAAATACAATTATTTAAATATGTGTTGCAGTCTGATTCACTTTCACATTTTTCCTCTCTTTTCTTTTATAGATGGAGTTCATGGGAAGCTAGTTATGCCAGCTTTCCATGAACTCGGAACTTGTACAGACAGGAATACTCAGGATTGCCCCAGTTGTTCAACACATGCAGCGTAATGAAGCGAATGACGTCTACTTTGTCGTCCTGAGAGACAAAACAAAAACCAGATGGGTTAGTTGCATAATAGTTTTCTTGACTCTTGAAAGGATGGTAAATTTAGGAATACTGTGATTATTATGAGGGAGGATATACAGATAGCAAGGGGAGCTAACCTCTAAGTACTCTGGATAGAAAAGTCTATGTGCATGTGTATAATGGCACAGTGTACTCACGGGTATCCTGAATGTTTGGAGTGGATCTCCATTTTCATCATAGACGAATGTTCCCAGGTGGACACCACTGTCGTCTAATGCTCTCTTTCCCTGAAAAGACAGAAATAAATACAGATAAAGTTGTTCTCTATATACACATATGTAAAATGCAACAGTTGAACAGTGGTGCAGTGGAAATCTGTGACTTACAAACACTGAAAACATCCTGGGAGCACTGGAGACCTTTCCAGATGGTGACACCATCTTAGAAATGTGACCCAGTGTCACATGACTGATGGCGATGCTGTGTGACAGCTTAATTGTTAAATGTCCCTGGGAACCCGCAAAACTCCAACACACTCCTGGGAGCATGGGTGCTCGACCCTACAGAGAAAAGGAAACAAAAACAGAGTTCAGTTTGGACCGCTAGTGTTTGACTATTAAATCATGCAGATGTGTGAGATAGTATCTTGTTTTTTTGTGAAAGTAGATTATACCTGAATAACGACTCTTGAGCTTACACGGGGTGGTTTTGCGGGTATCAATGTAAGCCCCCACAGCTTCAATCCACCCTGTTCTGAAAGGTAGGATGCTGAAGACTGTTCTTTAACAATCTTTGCTCCTGTAGACAAAAACACAGAGTGAGAAAGGAATCGCAAAACAACAACAAAGAAATTCTTACGTGAATTCTGATCCGATTTCATGTCTTACCCAGTTCCTCCAGAGCAAAGTTGGGCATCCTGTCCCCAACTGGAAGAAGGAAGTCAATTCTTTTTCTTAAGTCCATTAACTCCCTTTGCAGCTCTTGTGCCTTCCTTTCCACCTGTTCATGTCTATTCATTAAGTACTGCAAATGAGAAGAACCATTCGTGTTATAATATATATATATATATATATATAATAATAAACTGTCATCTGATTAATTTTCAGGGAATATATTATGAGCTTCATATGTTTTTTATACCTCACTCATGAACGGGGTGGAAAAGTCCATTTTCAGCCCTCCAATACTGAAAATCAATCCTGGTGGATGAAGAGAAACACAGAATAAGAAGAGAAGCTTAATCCAGAAGAAAAGCACATAGTACTAGAAAGACTGTAATTGTTTGTGGAAGGAGATCATTTACCAAAACACAAGGCCAGCATGAGGACCAAAGGTCTCAATGCCTTGATGGCTCTAAAGAGACCTCTGCTGCTGCCACTACTGTAGTCAACAAAATCATTGTTATTGCAGTCCACAGTGTCACAGTCAACAGTGTTGTATTCAACTGTGTCTTGGTCAATATTGTCAGGGACTGGACGGGGCCGTCGCCATTTGAAAACTCTGCACAGAAAAAACAAAATCATGTAAGAAAAAATGTACATGGAAGAATAAAATGGATTATGATTACAAAACCTGCATCTATGTCAGTGGATGACAACAAAAAACATGTAGACCAGCACTAACCTGTGTAAAGTCTCCTTGTAGGAGATTAACGGCTCTCCTTGGCTGCCGTAATAGCCGTTAGACTGAAGTCTTTGGCTTCTTCTCAACATGGCTGTAAAATGAAAGGGAAACATGGGGTTAAGTGAGTCTCTAACACAAAGCTTATCAGACTTCATAACTATGATTTGAGCATGTTTCCATCAGAAGCAACTCTGTGCAAATCAGTGCAGATTCTCTTAGATATAAACTTCACGGTGCCAGCTTGTTTTGTTTTTAATGAACAGAATTATATTTGAATCACACCCATATATGAAATGCGCTCTTAATACGGAATTTTATTTTTCCAGCGTCATATTGTTATGATTCATATCATAGCAACAGATCACAACATTTTCTTGTTTTTCTTGCAAAAAAATCTCTTTCACATGTCAGTTTGTTTGTTCACAATGTAGCTGTTAAAATTCAGAAAAAGAGGAAATCACCACAGCGGTAAAGAAAAGCTCAAAGCAACTAAATGAATTTGGCCCAAAATCCTGTCAAAAGAAGAATTAAAAACTCTTTGGTTTTATAGTTAATATACAAAAGGAAATCAATTTTTATCAGACAAGCTGCGTCTAACAGGTAAGCAGTAAAATCACCTTTACAGTAGAATGTAGCTACTAAAAAGTGCTTTTCTGACATAATCAACTGCATATCATTTTTAAAATGTTCAGATTTGATTTCAATACAAATATTAAAAGTAAGATGTGAAGCCAAAACATACTCTGTTTTTGTACTTGCTGATTTTTAGTCTAAAGATTGCACTTACCTTCACTTAAAACGAAAGTTGAAGAAACTGAATCGCTAAGTGTGCTTTTCCGTAAATTTGGACGTTTAGCGCTTCTCACTGAACTCATCTGAACCAGAAAATTTAGGTGCAGAAGAAAAATTTCAAACCGCAGCTTTTTCAGTGACGTTACAAACAGACACATGCACAAATCGAACGCACGCGCGTTCCATAAGAGCAGCACTTCGTGTGCGCACGCGCAAAGGTGTGAGCGTAGATCTGTTTTGTTTTTTTTTAAAGAAATTTGCTCGAAATTTACCTTTCCTTCTCAGTCCCTTTATAAACACCGCATCATATTGTCAAAATTCATATAGCACAATACATGCGCTCACGAGCCCATGTGCAAAGGTGTGTTGCAGTGAATGAAGAAAACTTTTCCATATTCACTGTCACTAATTTGTTTGATTTTGCTGTGAGAAAATTGTGACGTATATGAGAATGAGCGAAGACCACGGTCATTTAAATACGGTATTAAAGTGTAATGAAACTGTTTCTCAGAGGGAAAGTGTGGTTTTAGGAGACTCGAGCCAAACATTAGCGGGCATCATTCTAGCTTATAATCAACAACGGATCCAAAGGATCCGGGCTAGATGAGCTGGGAAGCGACCGATCCAAATCGGGTCCAGTCATGATCTGTTCCAAACTCGCTGTGCAAGTGGACTCCGATCCGGACCCGGGTCGCGGATCCGTTACAGAGCCTGTAATGTCTTATTTATTTTGGTAAAATACGTTACTTCTTTTAGGCCATCTAAAACATCTTTATTGTTGCAATTTCTGCTATCCTCTTTGCCAGATTACTCTTAAAAAACACTTTTTCTCATGGTTCTCCCTGTTTAGTTATAAGATTTTATGTTTCAAATTACCATAAAATCACAGGAGACAAAGGGTGAAAAAACAACAACATCTAAGCAGAGAGAAAGACTGCTTAGTCAGTCCAAATCAAAAGTTCAAGAGAAATGCTAGAGTCTAAAGCAAATAATCTTCTGTGTGAAGTTAGACAGGGAGTTCACTGAGCCCAGAAGATATGGGGAACAAGTCCAGGAAGGAATCAGTATCCGGCAGAGGTGTAGTTTCACATAAACACAAGGTGCAGTCAAATGGGTTACAGGTTATGTTGAATCACTGTTAATATGATTGAGGAAAGGGTCAGAGATTTCAACAAATTCAAAAGTGTCAGCCAGATGATAGCGAACCTCTTCAATACACAAACGTGCAATCCTGTCACATAGCCAAACCCTAAACAAGGGGAGAGATGGTGATTTCCAGGCTCTTTTAGCTACAATCATGCTGGCTTTCTGAAGGGGACGATGTTGTTATGTTTTAAAGAAATTTAATTCAGCCCAATTGAATTCATTTTAAGTAGGGGCAATTCACAATAACACTGTGCTTAACAAAATTAGCTTCATATGTTTTTCATACCTCACGCATGAACGGGGTGGGAAAGTCCATTTTCAGCCCTCCAATACTGAAAATCAATCCTGGTGGATGAAGAGAAACACAGAATAAGAGATGAATAAGAGAATGTGAGATGCTTAATCCAGAAGAAAGTGTTGTAGTCAACTGTGTCGGGGCCAGTAAGGGGCCAGAGATGTCACCTTACATGTGTATTGCAGTTGTTGAAGAAAACTTTTCTACAATCATTCCTGTGTCCCAAGTTAAGTGTGTTTCAAATATTAATAAATATTGTTCTTTTCATAAAATGTGGTTATATTTGTTCAAATATTTAGGGTACTTATATTAAAGATGATTACCCTACCACCCAGTCACCAGTATAAAGCATGGTGTTTAGCATTATTACCTCACAGCAAGAACGTCCTGGGTCAAATCCACCATCTAGCCAGAGCATTTCCGTGTGGTAAGCATATTCTTTGTACTCCAGGGTCCACAGTCCAAAGACATGCAGTTACTGGAATTAATGTTAATTTGTGATTTTAAAATTAGTGTGAATGGTTCTGTGTTGGCCCTGAATTGCAATAGCAGAAGAAAATGGAAGAATGGATCGCGTCATCTAATTAGGCACATTCCTCAATCCTTCTTTATGGTGTTAGAATAAAAATCTGATTTTGAACATGTGGGTCTAACAGGACAAAGATGGTAGAAAGACGTAATAACTGCTGATGTAACTGCATCTAAACACCTTGAACCCATTTTGCTTAACCCCACAGCTACAGTGAGCAAGAAAATCAAGATGAACCGCTTCTTCTCTAACTGTCCACTAGATGTCACTCTAGTCCAGAGTTTGAAACTGGCTTTAGAGAAAGTAGGGTGACAAAATGAAGCTTTTCCTGTAAAATCAAGAACTTTAAGAGCCAGGAAAGCTCATGTGCTCTCAGCAGCAAGAGCCGGATACTTAGAGAGCTGTATTCAAAAGTAGTAGTTTGTTTAGAAAGCCAATGGTAGAATTTCATGTTTTCATGTATGAAAACATGAAATTTATGTTTCATGCTACATAACATTTATGTAAAACAAAATTTAGTGCAACATTATCTCAACTGGTCTTGATACTGTACATTATGTGCATCATATTTCTGAATCTTTGTGCTCTCTCTTGCTTATTCCCAAGAAACTTTATGACAACGGTTCTTTTCAGCAGCACAGGTTGATCTGAATCAGCAGTCTCTCCTATGAACAGTTTGTGTGTCAAACAAAATTCATTATCTGAGATAACAGACCAATTACATCTTCTTCTAAGACTACGTGCAATAGTGTCAGTGGTCGTCCTCTGAAGTAATAATGGATCGTGGACTGAAATATGGATACAGCCTTCGGCATGCTTTGAGACTACATCAAAGAGGTCTTTGGTCCTATGCTGAAATCAGTGCAGCGTTTGGGCTTATGTAGGTTTTAAGCAAAGTATGACCTCCTTTCAAGGGATTTTGGAAACACCACTGATCAGTCCGATCAGCTTCATCTTACCCTTAAAACGGAGAATGTTGGTACATCATTTATATTGAATTCCTGCTTAATTCTACTTTTAGTCTGGTAGTGAACACACCAAGACCCCAGGCACAAATAAACTGTCTCATTTTGGAACCAATTCAAGGATCGTTCATCAATGTAGACCTTTCCTGTTTTGCTTCAATTTCTTAACTGGAGCACGGGGAGGTCTGTAGATAACTTTAAATTCTGCAGAGTCCAGAGGAGAAAGTTCTTCTATGACAAGAAATCTACAAACTACAGCCACAAGCACCACTTGAGCAATTTAAATCTTTACTAAAGACACACTTTTATGCTCTGGCTTTTAACACATTATGACCCAAGCATTTTGGATTTATCTGAATTAGTTAGTATTGTTTCAATTCTTCTATTTTATTGTTTCTATTGTTATTATTGTATTACACTGTAGTTTTTAATTTTATTGTTATTGTTAAGCACTTTGTGCAGCATCGGCTGTTGGAAATGTGCTATATAAATAAATCTGACCTTGACCTGACTCATTTGAACAATGCTTTTAATGAAATCATATTTTTTAAACATCAAATGTACATATAATAAGAATTACAAGACATATTTAAATATATTAAAGTTACATTACATAGGCTTCCTGCAGATGAATCCAGCTCTTATGAAACTACAAAAGCTGTTGAACTTATTTTGTGAGTGCAGCTTTGGAGCCAACATCAACAAGAGGCCATTAATAAGCAAAAAACAGAAAAAACAAGTGCTTGGGCAGAAGCCTCGGGTCAAACTACTGTTTACAGTTATCGTAGCTGTTTGTAATCATGCCATTTACTTTATGTGACAGATTAAATAAAGTGTTATTAATACTGTTGAGCTCCATGTAAACATAATGGAGTCAGAGGGCTGTTATAGATGTCATAATAACTTGTTCATAAAAACAACTTGTCTGCTGCTGGTTCTCAATGATGGGGTATGAAAACCACTGGAGCATGCGGTCCCAGCTAAGCATACTGCTTGCACATATAAAAATAAGTTTTATCCTGGCCTTTCTGAATGTTGTCAGAGATATCAAAACATTTTTAACTTACAATACTTAAAGCAGTGTGTGAGCTGCAAAGGCATCAGAGCAGGTGATCACAACATTCACCATTCATTCACCTGCACGATGCCTAAGGCAAATCTTGTAAGACATAATATTTTGTTTGCTTCCCTTTTATGTTTGAAAGAAGATTAGCGTACACCGTTTTACAGGTCTACTGGAAGTTAAACAAGCATCTAAATATGCTGCTTTCTCTGCTTGGGATCAGTTGCAAAATCAGCGATACAAGCTGAAGGCAGGGGTGCTTCCAGACTTTTTTAAATTGGGCGGCATGGAAGAAGCAACAGAAATGGGGGTGAGGGAGTAGCAAATCAGAATAATTCATAAGAAATAAGATGGATTATTATTTTGCAAAGTGGAAATAGTATTTAGACTTATACTTGAAACATAAAATGTACAATTCTACTTAAGTAGCTTAATAATGCACAAGTTGTACATTCAAAATAGATTTAAAGTACTTAACGTAAACACACTCATTGTACAGAATGACACTTTTTTTTATCTTAAATGGTGCTATATGCGATTGATTGATCTGTAATCATGCAATTAATGTGCAAAAAGAATAAGTGACTAAAGCTTTAAAATAAATAAGGGGGGCATAAGGGTGTAAAAGCAGAAAGTAGCAAAACAGAAATAATTAAACTATGCACAAAGTACTGCTGAGTTGATGTACTCATTTACATTCATACTGGCCCTACCCATGCTCTCATCCAACGGTGTTGGGCATCGTAAGATTAACAGTGTTATAGTCCAATCACACTGACGGGGTGGGGGTGGAAGGGTGTAGAGTTTTTTCTGATTATCACTACCCCTTCAAGGGTTAAAAAAATAACCGCAGCCAGTGTGAAAGTGCCAAAAACTCAGATTTTTTTTATAAAGCACTTTGTGATCTTTGTCTTGAAAGTTGCTATATAAATAAAACTTACTTACTTACTTTAAAAAAAAACTCAAAAAAGTCAGTCCCTGCAGACTTTTATGTTAAAACAGCAAACTTTAGAGCCAAATACACATGTTTACAGCCTGGTACAAATTGCACTTTTAAGTCTCTGTGCCAAATTCTCTACCTCAGATAACAGTATCAAGGTCTGAGTTGCATTAAGGCTTAAAATTTGCATTATTG